TCAAATGCAAAGATTATTATTATTATTACTGATAAAATATACTCTGGGCAACTAAATCTATATTTCAAAGTCTGTAGACCAAACTCTCAGCACAGATGTAGAGACAGACCTACAACCATACTTAGGAACTGTTTCAATTATGAAGAAGCCTTCAAATTTGCCTACAAAATACAGTTATTGCACTTTACAATAAATCATGTGGAAGACTTTGAGACATCCTCCTGACATGAAAGATGTTATGCAAGGATTATTAATAAATTAATTGCTACAAAATTCAATTAAGAGTATGGCTGTTGGACTTTCAAGCCTTATCACCATTGAGCATGGTAGAGCAGCAGAGAGCTGTTAGGAGTATAGGGTTTCACCAGCTGTCTCTAACCTGATAAGGTCTGCTCACATTAGTAAAATGGCCATGATTAATCAGAATCAAAGTTTGTACCTAAAAGATAGCAAATAAATGCAGATAAATTTTGGTGAATGTATTCATCTTTTTCTGGAGCAAGATGTGTTTGAGTCAGTGATATGCTTCGAATTATCAGAAGACCCCTCCTAATTAAGAAATCAATTAAGAAATACTGCAAAATTGACCCAGATATATCACAAATATACACGGAAATCTTGAATGCAGGAACAGAAACACACGGTCGACCTCACTGTTTTCAGCACAAGAGTTTATTTACAGTATTTTCTGGCATCCCTCAATGCTTCACTACAATGGATCTGCCAAAGGATGCTGCTCCCAATTTGGAAAACAGCATTTGAGTGCAGCTACTAACCGGATGCTGACTTAATTCACTTGATATCCTGTGGAACAGTACTCAAATATTGCCTCTAGGATTTAAAACACAAATTACTCTGGCTTTTCCTGCTATCCAAGATGGCAATGATTTTTTGTTTAAACACAAATAGGATCAATCCATTGTGCAAAGGGGTAGATGTTTAGTCCTACAGCAAGTCTTTAGAGATGGCAGGAAATCAATGGCATGTCATAACAGATTTGATATGATAATTATCACATCAAATCTGTTATGAAATGTTGCAGATTACACCCCAATATTAAAACCTAGAGGCAATATTTAAGTGCCACAGGATATCAAGTGAAACATATAGTCAATTCACTTTACAGTAATATTCTGTGAAGTGCTTTGAGACTTCTCGAAAACATGATATGGCGCTATATTATATTCTAACAGCATCCAAGTTTATTGCACGTTAGCTCAATTTGTCTGTCTTAGATACAATCATCATACTTTGCTGGACTGATGATATGAACCTGAAGCAATTTATTATCTAAAATAAAGCTGAATGTTCCTTCAGAATATCAAGAATAAATATTTGAAGTGAAAGTGAAAATTTAATGCAAATTCTAAATAATTTGGAATTCTTATCTGTTTTTTCATTCTGCACACTTTGAAGAAATTCTTCAATAATAATACGCCTTGCGTTTGATATAGTGCCTTATCACGTCTTTAAGTCGTCTCAAAGTGCTTCACAGAATATACTGTAAAGTGAATTGACTATAGTTTGTGGGCGAAACGTGGGAGCCAATTGCGCACAGCAGTGTCCCACAAACAGTTGTGGATTGAAGTGACCAATTTTTTATTTTTTATTTTTTTTAAAAGGAATTATCACCCCTGGAAAAGCGATCCGCCATTCGACTAACAACTGGGTTCCTGTTTACTGCTAGGTAAACAGAGTTGTGTGGAGTAAGGAAACTTACCCAACATTTTGCCCTGCCCGGGAATAGAGTATAGAATACTCACTTGTAAGGCGAGTGCTCTAACCACTTAGGGTTAACTCTGAGGTGAATGATGAATTAACTTTGGGATTGTTGTCCAGCACGCCAGAAGGAATTCCCTTCTCTTTGTAGATACATGTAGAGTCATGGGATTGTTAATGTCCACTTCAAAAGAAGCAGATGAGATCTCATTTTAACATATCATCCAAAAGATGACATCTCTGATTCTGCAGCACTCCCTCCAGAATTGCACTGGAGTGTTAGAACAGATTGTGAATTGAAGTCCTACAGCAACCAATTTGAACATATCAACGTCGCACAAACAGCCATGAAACGGATAATCACATTTTATATGAGATATTGTTAGCCAGGATGCAAGGAAAACTCCCTTCCGTTTTTGAAAAAGGTCTTGCAATCCTTAATGTCTACATGAACAGGCAGATGAGAACTTGATTTAACATTTCATCTGAAGAATAGGACCTCCAACAATGCAGCCCTCCATCAGCATTGCACTAAAATATCAACCAGGTATGTGAATTCAAAGCCTCAGAGGGGAGAGTGCTGCAGATACTGACAACTGAGTCAGGCTGATGCTCAACTGAGTGTGTAAGAAACTAGCAAACAGGGGAGGGAGGAAAATATAAAAAGGAAATAGAAGGTTCAAAGATTTTGACAAAACAAGTTAAAGGATGAAAAAAAAGGAGAAACCATCCTATTTCCCTTGTCCTCTGAGTGTTCTGTATCAATGCATTGCTTCTGAATCGCTTCTGTCCTTATCTCACTCCCATCCATACTGAAACCCTTATTTATGCCTCCACTGCAATCATCTGATAGCCGTGCCATGGTGCCCTGATAATTTGTAGAAACAGAATCATACACTGTTTAAAGCACAACACATGATGTGCTGGTGTTAGCTCTTGATGTACCTTTCATATTTTCTTCCACGTATTTATACATGGAATCTGGGCAGAGGAGCAATATCGGTTTCCAATATGAGAAGTGAAAAAGTCTGCCAGTGCTGGAAACACTGAAGAAAGGTTTGTCCAAGTTCAGGGAAGAACAATAACCATAAAACAACTGAGTATTAGCAGATGTTCATCACCATCACACGGCAGCCTAATGATGATGAAGTAGAGCGGAGTGTGTTCCTAGAACAGACTAATAAAGGCTGCCCTTTGTTTTTCTGCTTTTTATTATGTAATAGGAAGTGGTTAACAGATAAAGCGGTTGAATTAATATCAGTCTCCCACCTTTTAATTGTATGTATGAAAACATGTTAGGAAATATTGTACTCTGATAAGTTTGAAATTGATTTTATTTTAAATAGAGCACTAGCTTTGCAATTTCCTTGCACATATCCTTTGTTTTCTCTCTATTTTATGTTATCTTGTACTGACCCCCCAGAGAATCCATTAACATACAATAAGATTTCCTTTCATTGTAACTTGCAGGCATAATTGGAAGTATGGGTTGTAGTAATGCAGAACTATAGTAGTGAGGATAGGAGGCAAAGCCAGATTTGTAGGAGTCGCCTAAGCAATGTATCTGACAGGAAGTCGCAGGATGGGTGACTAATTCATGGCACATGTTGTGGTAGTGATACTGGCCACATGCTGTTCATATCCCTTTAATCTGATCATGGCAACAGGAAACTGTGTGACGTAGAAAAAATGCATGTAATCTTGTCAAACTCATTAGATGTACCTTGCAGAGAATTTGAATCTTCTCTCTCTTACATTTAGAATTGGTATGTGTGAAATTTCCATCCAAAATTTGTTGCGCTATATCAAATTCAAGGATTATTATTATGTAGACATTTCAATAGGGTTAGCTGTTTTTTGATGTGAGACAATGGAAACTTAATGGAAGAGATATTTTTGCTTCTTTGATCAATATGTCCCATCAAGTTAACTTTATTCTGGACATTGAAGATAAATCCATAACATTATTTAAGAAGGAATTGGATAAATATAAAATGAAAAATAATGCTAAAGGGTGCAGGCGAATGGAATTGGACAGGTATATTCAGTGAACAGAATGACATCCTTCTGTCTATAAACCTTTTGGGCTTCTATAATTCCTATAAACTTTAAAACCCTGGAGTTGCTGACAATTCATAGAATCATAGAATTATACAGCACAGAAGGAGGTCATTCGGCCCATCATGTCTGTCCCGACTCTTTGAAAACAGCTATCCAATTCAATCCCACTCTCCTGCTCTCTTACCATAGCCCTGCAAACTTGTCCTCCCGAAATAATGATCTACTTCTCTCTTAAAAGTTGTTATCGAATCGGCTTCCACCACTCTTTCAGGCAATGCATTCCAGATCTGAACAACTCGCTGTGTGAAAAAATTTCTCCTCACCTGCTCTCTGTTTCTTTTAACAACTATTTTAAATCGGTGCCCTCGGGTTACCGACCCACCCAGCATTAGCTGAAGATAAATTATAAAGTTAGGACGAAAATTGCAATATGTCATGGGATATTTATCACTGGCACATATGTATGTACTAATGGTAATGATCACATCACAGATATGTTACATGCAATTGTTTATGCATAGGTGATAGTTGTCTTATCACAATAAATATTGTGTGACCGTGATAATTTTTCACATCATAAGTCTACAATACAAAAACTTGTTGGAGAGGGGGTACAATTTTTGAATAAATAACTGATTTTACAATATAATTGTATTAAACCACACCGACTAACAGCTTCCTGCCTTCATTGTGGTTTGATTTTTGTGGCTTTACTACAATCCCAACAGGAATATTTGTTTCATAAGGCAGGCCCTTGGCAGATACCCTTCATAAATATTCTGAGAAAACAACAGTGTCAAAAGCTGCTACACAAGCAGGAAATGCAATAAACAAGTTTTGCTGGACCGGTGAAATAGACATTTAATCTTGGTCTTGATAAATATAACTAAATACAACTTATTTTTAGTAACAAGTTAGTATTAAATTGTGCATGGTCTCCAGTGCTTTCTCAATAACAATAATACGATAAACATTATACACATGCATAGCATTGATAAAATATGATAGCCCGTCCCACTGTCTTTGTCATTACAATTTCTCCTGAATTTCCCATATAGAATTGGATATTCACTTCATGGCTGTTTGTGGGACATTCCTGAATGTAAATTGGCTGCTGTGTTCACCTACAAAAAGGTGCCGGGGCATATCAAGTGTTAGATTTATTATTACAATTATTATTATTAAAATGGTTGTTTCTCAGTCAAACAATACCCTGTGTGGCCCCAGTGGCCTAATGGATAAGGCATTGGTCTCCGGAACCAAGGATTATGGGTTTGAGTCCCATCTGGGGTAAATGAGGCAATTAAATATTTATACCATGAGCCAAATGGCCTTCTTCTTTACTATAAATTTCTATGGTTCAGCTTGGACCTAAGATTTTGTCATGTCTTGCCAGGGAGCCTGTAATATTTACCATTTTTATTTCACCGTAGAACTTGATAAAATTGTTATACACAAAGAAAAAAAAGTTTGTAATCTGTTTGGTTATATATTGTCTCAAGCTTTACTCCTGTGGTTTGTGATATGATCTGAAACCCTCTTAGATTACTGTTTAGTTAGCACTCCTGGCTGTAATTTGTTTATGTATTGAGGCCCCAATCTCTGTATCTCACACATCTGGTAGAAAGGATTTCTACATGATTCACTCTATTATCTCAGACAGGCAAAACTCAAGGTTCGGACACATCCAATGGCCATCACAGGGAGACTTATTCAGCTTGTTGTGACTATCCCATGCCTCTACTACTTTCACAATGTTACTGCACAACAGGTCCATAAAACTTAACAGTGCGTGAGACCAGAAACAAATAGACTCCCTTAATACCACCATAGATCAATGTGAAATCACACACTTTATTTTATGCCAACACAATCATCATTTTATGATATTTCAAATTACAAATAATTCCCTGGATAATATTAGTAGGTGAATATGTTAAACTATATCAAGTGTTTAGCTCAAATAATTTGGAGGTGATTCTCTGACCCACTGGTAAATATATTGGTCTTGAAAGTATAAAGGGAAAATTCAATAATATTCTTGTCTCTCAGGGTCAGTAAATTTATCGTCAATTGACAAATCGCTGGGTGCAGTCTTCAGCATAGAAACGTTCCACTGAAATCTTCTCAAAGTCTGAAATATTTTATAGTACTGTGATTTTTTAATACCACATGGTTTTATTTATTTTAGATTTGGTGTAAAGTTTTGAAAGAATTGCATTCCGTACGAAAATCAAGCAGAAGTTGTTACAAATGCCACATCATTTTTACACAATTGTTAAGACAGATATAGTGTCCAGCTTTTCCTTATAGAATTCAATGTGCATTTTACAGTACAACACCATTTATAATTCACTTCCTGCTTTGCTGAGGGAGTACGCCATTGTTAGAGGTTTCGTGCTACAGATGAGACATTAAACTGAGGAGCCTCTCTGCATGTTCAGGTGGACAATAAAGATCCCAGGCAATATTCAAAAACATGAGAGAGTTTCTCCTAGTGCCCTTCAGATAAAATTGATCTTTCGCTTCATAACTGCGAGGCATTACTGTGGGCAAATTGACTGACGCAGTTGCCTCAAAAACAGACTGAATTGAAGACATTGTTGAAGATCAGCGAAGGTGTCCGCTCATCACTGAAACCTTTTCTGACAAGTTTATTTTGCTAGAAGTGAAGAAATAATGCATTGAACAATAAAGATTGAGTGTGAGAAATCCTGATTTATATTGCTTTAGCCCAGGATTAAGAGTTCTTTGCATGTACAGAGCTTTTGTAACTAGTTGTTACTGTTATTAATATTATAGTAACAGCCAATTTGCACTTTAATAACATTAAAATATGGTCTTTTATAACTTCTTGGATAGTCCAATTTAGTTTTTCTGAATGGAACTCATGTTGAGCACAGCCATCACGGTGCAAACTGATGTTCTGCTGAAAGTATCTCTGCAAGATGGTCATAGCAACTGGAATCCAATGCAATTCATTTCCACATCACCTGATTTATGTAATTTACAGCATAAAGTACAGTATAAAAAGGATATCAGTGACAGATTCTAGGTTCAGAGGATCCACTGTGGTGATTTGATGTTCTATCATTCATCCAAAGCCCTAATGTAATGGATTTCACACCTCCATAAGCTATACCCACATATTTCAAGAGTGAACTGTCAGTGAGCTAATGCTGAGTCTGTATTGTACACTGATACTAACATTAATATTGCTTATTATCACATTTTGTTTAATTTGGTAAAACCAATACAAGTTTCACTCAAGCATGATTATCTACAAAGTTACTCCAATCCTAACCTTTTAAATCCAATTTCACAGGCACAGAACAAAGATACTAATTCAGTGACATCTTGTTGCATAATGCATGTGGGGAGAACAAAGTCTGAGTTAAATATCCCATTAATATCATGCTTATATTGTTAATATCAATGAACAATCCACTCTGTATGATTGTGCTGTGCTTTTATAAGAATAATAATCAATGCATTTGATATAGCACCTTAGCATTTCTTCACAACATCTCAAAGTGTTTCACAAGATTTTACTGTAAAATGTAGTGACTGTGTATTTTGTAGATGAATGTGGTAGCCAATTTCCACACTGCAATTCTACAAATACCCATGAAGGAAATGGCCAATTTCTATTTGGTGATTGTTTGCCAGGATACTGGGAGAAACTGGCTTCTCTTTTTGAAAAGTGCCATACGATCATTAACATTCACCTGAACAGACAGATTAGACCTCAGTTTAAGGTCTCAACTGAAGGACGGCATCTCCAACAGTGCACTATTGCCCAACTTTGCATTGGAGTGTCAGGCTAGACTATGAGCTCAAAGTTCCAGGGTGAGACATGAGGTTACATGTATAATACATGAATCTTAAAGTATAATTTTGTCTGTGTGTACGGTCATTAGGAAGACTTAACCCTTATACTGTAATATTCCATTAATCTCTGGTGTAATTGTTGCATTTGTTCCCAATACTGCATTCATTGCATACTTAATGCTTCCTAGCAAAGTAGGAATACAACAACAATTTGCATTTATATAGTGCCCTCAAGTAGGGTAGCGTCCCAGAGCATGTGAAAGGACGGAGCATGACACCGAGCCTGGGGGAGGGGGGTTGTGACCGAAGGCACAGTCGAAGAGGAAGGTCTTCAAGCACGATCTGAAGTTAGGGAAGGAATGGGCAAGGCAGAGAGATACAGGAAGAGTGTTCCAAAGTTTCGGGGCATAGTGGCTGAAAGTGTGGCCAGCGCTAATGGATCAGAGGGCGCAAGGGAAATGCAGAAGGTCAAAGCCAGTTGAGCGGAGGCAGCAGGCAATGGGTTGGGGAGTAAGCAGGTCAGAGAGGCAGGGAACTGCCAGGGCATGAAGGGATTTGAAAACAACTGTGAGGGTCTTGAAATCGATCTGTTTGGTGATAAGGAGCTGGTGAAGCCTGATTAGAACTGAGTGATGGGGGTACGGAGTTTAGTGCGGGTTAATATGCGGGCGGCGGAGTTTGGATCAATACATAGTGCTATCTGTCATTGGAGGAAAAGTAACAATAACTTGCATTTTTATATATATATGTATAGTGTCCTTCACACGGGGTAGCGTCCTCGCATGAAGTAGTAACTTAAGTACTGCCATGTTGTGCTACAACATCGTAACATAACATTAACTGTAACATAACATTAGTTGTGACATCTTCAGTGAAAATCTTGCCCACCTTGTGAGGTGGAACTATTTAGAGGGAAAGTGTTGTTCTGGGGTTCTGATCGTGCAAAGCATCCCCACTGTCAACACACCAAGTGACCCTCGGGCTACTTCATCATATGGAAGTGATTAGTCACATCAACAGAAGACACATTACAGCTCTGACTACTCTCTGAAACGAAAAGCTTCTTATCTTTCCTAAAAATTTGGAAAACAAAAAAAATTGGTTGCTGCCTAGCACATAAGTTCATATTGTGGAAGATGTTACCTTGGTGCCCTATTATAACATGATGATTGAGATGCATAACACCCGCAGCATAAGGAGGCATGCTAGCCTGTTTTACTGTGCATGTGCACAGCCAGCCAACTCGCTCTCTGCACCTGGGCCGGTTCCTATACTAAATGAAAAAAATGGCCAAATTCAAGGTTATGAGGTTCCCACTATGTCATTTCCTGTTTGCTGCACTAGGGGAGACCTATTACCCCAGAAGTTGGCCATTTAGCAAAAAATGACTTACCTACTTTTGGTGTTATATAGCTAACATAGGGGAAGAAAGCGGACTATCTGCACACATGCCCAATGAATGGGGTACTCAGTACAGCCGTTTTACAACCAAATTTGTGCCATAAAGAAGCATGTTATAACAGCACTGCACTCACTGTATATCTGTTGCAGAGTAACTCTATCATTTTCATTTGCCACAATGGAGACTAATTGATCAATTGTACCAAACTTCTTTATCAAATGATAATGTCCCTTGAAAGCAGAGAATTGCTTCATCAATCACATATCCTAATAGATTTAGTGAGGCCTGAAATAACAGATTAAAATTTGCCCACAGGCCCAGTGTTTTATTTTACAATTGCATTGCAGTTGATCTCACTGAAGTGTGACCCTTTACTGCCTTATTTTACTTGCATAGTTTACAGTTTCTTTTTATATATCTATTATTTTTCTTCCATTGTAAGTTTTTCCTAAAATGCATTTAGAACTTTACCAAACGTGCGCTCTCTTATCCTACATCGGGGCTTTGAATTCACTGTCCAGGCTGACAATCCAGTGCAGAGCTGAGGGACATTGCATTTTTGGAGGTTCTATCCTTTGAATAAGATGAGTTCTTGTCTGCCTGTTAAAGATCCCATAGCACTATTCAAAAAAAGAATGGGCTTTCTCCGAGTATCTTGGCTAATAATCCACCAATTGATAAAATTGGTCATTCCCTTCATTAATGTTTGTGGGACCAATTGACTGCCATGTATGGTACAAGATACACAGTCACCACATCTTACTGTCAATCCCGTGAAGCCTTTGAGACATCTTCTTGAAGTGAATATATCAATTCCAAGGATTATTATTACTTTCTCTGGTTTCATTTGAAGTAATATTTACCCTATCCATACTGTTTCATATTCCTGAATGAAGAAAATGTCTCTCTCACACACCTTCCTTCGAGACTGTAAGCCTCTCTAATCTTGAAGCTTAACTTTTTCAAGGAAGTGGATTGACGCAAGCTGTTTTTTGGGCATGACGGTACAAATGAACTAAACAAAATGTGGTCTGACCCCATTATAGAGAGCCCCATCATA